TTTTTTTTTTTTTTTTTTTTTTTAGTATGTTAACTTTATTATTAAAACTGTTAAGACATATGTCTTTTCTTGGAAGGGAAGGAGAGAATACCATAGAGGAAGAAATCAGCAACTTTATAAAGTCCAATGACCCTTCCCCTTGTATGTATTTTTCCCACATTCCCAAAACTGGAGAGTCAAGTTTCTTCCTTATCTGCTAAAGGGAATGGCTATTAATATTTTGTATTGAAGTCAATGTTTCATTAGTTTAGTCCATTAAAGCTGACTTCTTTAAGATTCAGTTACTGGTTTCAGTACTCATTCTAGTTTTCAGAAGAACAGATAGGTTTGACCATCACATTCAACAAACCATGAACTTGGTTTTCATATGTCACAACAACAAAAAATCATATTACGCCAATAATAGAAATTTATTGATGTTTAATATAAATTTGCAAATTGGGGCAATATTTTGACTACAGAATTAAAAATGTTCCAAAGATGAAAGAACATTGGAACACTCTTTACCAAATCTTATCAGTATTGCAATGGGAAAAATGGTTGGAACAGACCAATTAAACAAATTTGTGGTCAGGAAGGATTTTTATACAACACTGTGTTGAAGGACCATTAAAGTAATTAACAATTTATCCTAAACATAGCTCCTAGTCTGACCTTTGTAGTCTGTTTCCTGAAAGGACTGAATTCTTCAAAAGAACACAATGCCCAAGGCAAAGTGTCTTACTAGTTTATCTAGGCCATTGTTCAACTCAAAGGTGACTCCTAGGAACCAGTTTCTCTGAGGCTCAAGCTTTAAAAAGACACTTAAGGGAAAATGTCCTGGGTCAGTCAGCCAACTCCACGGACCCAGAAATCTAGATTCCAGGAGAATTAAAATAGTTTATCATATATTAGTGTTGTAAAAGTGAGTCTGGTTATAATAAATGGTAACCTATATATATATAGAAAGGGGCTCTAATGGTGTAGTGGATGAATCATTTTGCTGCTAACCAAAAGTTTAGTGCTTTGAACCAACTAGCCACTCTGCAGGAGAAAGATGAGGCAAGTCTGATTTCATAAAGATTACAGCCTTGGAAACCCTGTGGGACAATTCTACTCTGCCCTATAGGGTCTCTATGAATCAGAATCGACTTGAAAACAGTGGCTTTGGGTTTTATTTATAGGAACTTCCTTTGGAGAAAAAAATCTTCCTTAAAAAAACTAAACTGTAGAAGGATACTCCTTTTGCTGTTTTGAATTGCATATAAAGTTTGTGAGCTGGGCACAGAAGAACACGTTCATTACTGAAAAGCTCCAACTACATGAATGACAGACCTGTATTTCCTCCATCTGTATGGTCCTTTATTGTGGTCCTTTAATTAGGTAGACCCAAAGAAGCCATGGTAACTGAATGGAGCCCCCCCTCCCTTTCATTCTTGAGCTGCTGGAGAGAAAATAGCTTGTTATCACCTCTATTTGTAGGAATGAAAACTACCACTTAGAAAAACAATTACAACAGGTTTCTAATTCCAAAGAAATGAACAGTTCCTTTTATGGTTACAAAGGGCCTCACATTTCAAAATCATAAAAAGAAAGTAAAATCTACTGATGTGAAAAAAATCCCAGCAACCCTAGATAAAGACCAAAACTTAATGACAGTTTAGAGAATTGAGACAGTTCAGTCTCAATTGAAAGCATAAGAGTGAGTACTTTACAGCCTAGTTATCTAGCTTTTCTTATGATATTTCAGCATCCTTTACACTGGTAGAAATTTGAATTAATTTTTCTTAATTTATTTATTAAACAAATACTTTTAGTTGAGTCTGAAATATAGAAATAAGAAGTTTTCAGTATGAGGAATAAACACAGAAAAGAAGTGTATCAAAGGGGCCGGGGAATGGGGATAAAAATAGGAACTGGTCAACTGTGCAAGTAGCACAGGATCAAGAAATATTCTAGGGGAGCACCAGTTTTTTTTTTTTTTTTTTTTTTTTTTGGTTTGTTTGTTTGTTTTAAAAATAAGAATGGAAAATGTTGGCAAGCAGAACCAGTTTGATGCTTTTGGAACTTCCTTGATACTTGAAAACTGGTTCATTCTGGTTCAACCCTCTGCTGAGAATCAAATATACTGAAAGAGATTCTACATTTTAACAAATCCTCATGTGCTTCTGATGTACACATACCTGGGGATTTTGTTAAAATGTAGATTCAGATTCAGTATATCTGGGTGGTTATTGTTAGGTACCATGGAGTCTGCTCTGACTCGTGACAACCCTTTGTTCAGTAGAATGAAACACTGACCATTCGTGCACCATTCTCACAATCCTTGCTATGCTTGAGCCTATCTTTACAACCATTGTGTCATATTTTGAGTGTCTTCCAACCTAAGGAACTAATCTGCCAGACAGTGCTTTACTGCTCTTCATCAAGTTTCAGTGGCCAGTTTTTTCAAAAGTGGATGATCTTGTCCTTCCTTCCCATCTGTCTTACTCTGGAAATTGCACTGAAACCTATTCGCCATGGGTGACCCTGCGGGTATTCGAAATACAGGTGGAAGAGCCTCTAGCCTCAAAGAAACACACATGCCAACACAGTACGACAAACTGACAGATGAGTGGGGGTTTCTAGGGGTAGAAATGAAAATTCTCAGCAGAGGTAGAATCAGAATGAACCAGTTTGAAGCCCTGCTTTGAACCTAGGTGTTTAAATTTAAGTTGATGAGAGCCAATTTGTGCTGGTTAGAACCATGTTAAAATCGGCAGGTCTGACCTTGAACCCTCTGAATTGAGTAACCTAGATGGAGCTGGTTTGGTTATGTGGGGTTTGATTTGAAACTGGTTTCAGTTCTATCTTCTTACAGTTTTGTGCCTCTAAGAATAAACTTGATCTAGTTGTATTGGTTTAACTTTCTGAATGCTTTCCATATTAAAAGTATTAACCATTTGTCTATCACGTTTGACACATTTATTTTTTCCTAATCTGTTGTTTGAAACTTCTTTAAAAAAAAAAATAAGAATGTAATATTTATGTGAAATAAAGCAATCTTGTCCATTCTGTCTTTTAAATCACCTTTTTAAAAAACTTTTTATTGTGATTTGGGTGTTAAATCACTTTTAATGTGAGAAATTTCATTATTGTTCACTTTTGTAACTCTTATTTTTCCTTACATTTAACTCTTTAGAATATTTTGTATCAAGTAAGTATCTAAATCGATTATTTTTCCAAAAAAAATTAAGCAAGTCCTTAACAGTATTTATAACTTAATTAATTATTTTCACACTATTTGATGGCATCATTTTTCCTATAATAAATTCTTATATTGGGTTAATTAGCTATAATTACCTGCTTATTTTGGCAAGAGTCACATTAGTATATTTATAAAATATTTATATTTTATCTCACAAAACTAGTCCCTGCTTCTTGCTTTAATTTTCAAATTTTTATGTTTTAGCTGTTTTGCTTTTTCTACATTACAGATCTACTTTAAAATCATTTTGTCACATTTTCTCCAAAATTGAATAATAAATTATTAGGGGTTCTGTTAGTGTAATTTGTGTAAAACATCCCTTACTCTTTTAGTGTGCAGTTCTGAACATTTTTGACAAAAGACATAGAGTTGTGTAACAACCAGCACAATCAAGATACGGAACAGTTCTTAAAATATTCTCTTATACTGCCTCTTTGTGATCAAACCATCCCTTTCGCGGTTCATCCCTGAAAACCACCCCTCTATTATCCATCCCTGTAGGTTTATCCTTTCCAAAATGTCATTGAAATTCAATCAAACATGATGTAGCCTTCTGAGTCTGGCTTCTTTCATGAAAAAAGTTTAATTGTATCCATGTTGCTACGTGAATCATTAATTTGTTCCTTTTTATCACTGATTATGTGCCATTGATTGGGTGAACTACACTATTTATCCATTCTCTACTCCAAGTACATTTGCATTATTATCAGTTTTTGGAAACTGGCTATGATTACCTGTTTTTTTTTTTTTTTTCAATGAGTACCTGTTTGAATAAGTGTCTTTTTATTGTTATTAATTGAGAGTAGATCCTGAATTTTATTTAATACTTGAGATAATCATTATCTAATACTTGGTTTGCTAATGCTGTATCTAAGTAAATTTTAAAATATGAAGTCATTTGTTTGTCCAGGGAAATCTTATACTTGATTATGATGAATTCTTCTTATATCTATTTGATTTATATTATATATTGAGTCATTAATATGTACTGGTAGATTATTAGTGAAAAATAGTTTCTCTCCCTTTCTTATGACACAAATACCTACTTTTATCCTAGAAGAACTATTGTCAACAGTTTTTTGTGTTTCCAGAAACACTACCTGTTTTCTGAACATAATATTTTATATTTTCACACTAGTAGTAGCAATTTATACACTCTTTTTAGTACCATGGGTTTTTTGTTTGTTTGTTTCTCTTAACAGTGTACCTTGGAGTTCATTCGCAAATATTCAAGAGGAGCTACTTGTTATTTTTGATGGTTTTAGAGTATTCCATTGCACAGACGTACAGTAAAACTTTTCAAATATTTTCTTACTGATGGATATTTATGCTGATTCTCATCCCTTTCTATTACAAGTAACACTAAAATGAGAATTTAAGTTTTTACTTTTAAGTTGCTTGTTACAGAACGAAAACATACATATCAGCTTATCTATAGAGTAAGTATATAAAGTGGACTTGCAGCACAAAATAACCCAAAACCAAACCCACTGCCATTGAGCTGATTTTTACTCATAACAATGCAATAGGACAGAGTCCCATAGGTTTCCAAGGTTGTACTCTTAACGAAGCTGACTACTTCATCTTTCTCCTGTGGAGCAGCTGATGGGTTCAAACTGCCAACCTTATGGCTCACAGTCAAATACTTTAATGACTGCACCAGCAGACCACTTTGCTGGATATAATGTTGTTGTTGTTGTGTGCCGTGGAGTCGGCCCCAACTCATAGCAACCTCTCCTTGGGTTTCTGAGGTGGTATCTCTAAGGAAGTAGATTGCCCAACCTTCCTTCCGAGAAGTGGCTGGTGGGTTTGAACTGCCAGCCTTCTGGTTAGCAGTCAAGTGCTTTAGGCACTATGCTACCAGAGCTCCCACTGGATATAATAGTACATGCTTACTTAATTTTGATAAATTTTTCCAAATCAGTCCTCTTATTGATTATCAAAGTCACACTGACATCAGCTGGTATGAGAATTTCTGTATTCTAACACCTGGCCACTATAGTGGTTATAGATCTTTTTTCCTTATAAATCTGAAAGGTGAAAATTTTACCATATTGTAGTCTTAATAATAATAGGAGTAATGCAAACAAAGGTTGAGCATGTTCTCGTGTGTTTCAGAGTTTTGATATTTCCTTTTTTGTGAAATATCCCTTAATATTATTTGCCAATTTATCAACTGATTGTTGGCCTTGTTCTTATTAATTTCTAATTTTTACATCAAAAATGTTTGGTTTTTGTCAGTCACATTTATCTTTTGACTTTATTCATGGTATTGTTTGCCATAAAGATTTTTAAAAGAATATTTTTATAATTAAATCATCTTTTTTTTTTTTTTTTTGGTAACTCTCCCTCTGAGAATGTAATGTAAACCATTACAATTTCTCTAGTATAACTCTGTCATTTCACTTTTAAAAGTTTAATCTTTCATGATGAAAGATGAGAATATACCCATCATTCAGAAAGTCTAATGAACCCCAAACAGGATAGACCCCAAAGGAAAATCACAAAGACACATCATCATCAAACTCATCAAAACCAAAGACAAAGACAGAATCCTGAAAGCAGCATGGGAAAAACAAAAAGTTGCTTACAAAGTTCAGCCAGTAAGAATAAGCTATAATTTCTCAGCAGAAACCATGCAAGTGAGAAGACAATGGGATGGTATATATAAAACCCTGAAAGAGAAAAATTTTCAACCAAGAATTATATACGCGGAAAAATTGTCCCTCAAATATGATGGTGAAATTAGGAGATTTTCAGATAAGTAGAAACTAAGGGAATTTGTTAAAACCAGACCAACCTTACAAGAGATGCTAAA